GAAAACTGTCAGTTATCAGAACTAAAGTAAATGATGTTTTTTTTTGCCAAAGTGAGCATATTGTTTTAACTGGTTCTCTTCTTTTTTAATAGTTTTATTATTTTAATTTTAAATAGCTTGTTTTACATGTCAATCCCAGTTCCCTCTCTCTCTCCTCCTCCCGCACTCCCCCACCATCCCCCCATCCTCCCACCCTATTGCCAATTCCTTCCACATAGGGGATATCTAGAGTCTGTCATTTCACTCTGGGTATGGTCCAGGCACTCCCCTAAGAGTCCAGGCTGAGAAAGCATCCCTCTTTGTGTTATGGACACACGATGTCTGCTAGTATTCAAGGGATAAACACTGATCCACTGCTCAGGACCCCATAGGTTGCCCAGGCCTCTTCACTGACTCTCACATTCAGGGGGTCTGGATCAGTCCCATGCTGGCCTCCGAGCTGTTGGTCTGGGGTCCAAGAGCTCTCCCCTGTTCATATCAGCTGTCTCTGCTGGTTCTGCCAGCCCATTCTTTGCCAATTTGCTCATCGCACCTCTCTCTCTCTCTGACGCTGGGTTCCTTGGGTTCAGTTCAATGTTTAATTGTGGGTGTTTGCCTCTGCTTCCATCTGTCACTGAATGAAGACTCCAGGATAGTTATAGACATCAAGTTCATTATCAGGAATGGGCATTCGAGGTAGTCTCTACACTATTGCTTAGCTTGCAATTTCAGTGGTTCTCTTTGAATTTGATTTCATATACAAGTACTGGGAAAATAAATTTCTTTAATAACAATGCTTTTCCTTCTACCAGGAAAGGTTTCTGTTTTACATTATCTTAAATTCATTCAGTTACAGAAAATTCACGTTTAAAAGGTTTGTGCTGTTATCTGTTTATCAGTGTATTTTGCTATCATCTGTGGCTCCTTTGGGTGGTGCATCAAGAATGTTTCTTGTGCAGCAGTAATATTCCTTGAACAGAAAATCTGCATGTGTACACACTGCCAATGCACTAATCAGAGTGCAACAGGACAGTAACTGATATGATGGAACCTGACAAATGAGATGGAGTGATTATGATGGGCTTAATGAGAAAATTATTCAATATATATATTGAATATATATATATATATAGAGAGAGAGAGAGAGAGAGAGAGAGAGAGAGATCTCAAGATTGTTTTCTTTTTCTTTCTAATGAAGCACTTCAGGACTACCAGAAATAGACTGAGTATTGAAACCAGAACTGTGATTTAGCCTTTCACCACATTTTCAATCAATAAATGTTTCACCTTTCCTTGTTGTTAGTCTCCCATGTTTCAAATACTTGAATCAACTCTCCTTATTACATATTTGGAAACTGAGATGATCTCAGGCACATGAATTCTGAGAACAGATTTGCAGCAACATACCCTTTAAGGATTGTTCTGTTTAATTTGTCAAATAACACTTATTTGTTCATAGTAATAGTATAAAATTAAACAGCCCTTTGTTTCATTTGTCAAATAACACTTATTATCTAACAACCGAAGAGTATAATTTTTGTAGGAAATTGCTAAGTGTCTAACTGGCATTTTATGTTTGCTTCTGGCTTGAATTCAGACACTGCTTGTACCTCTTATTTTAGACAAATGGATTGTCCTTCCACAGTAAGGATTGCAATGAAGCCTTTTGATGCTCTACTGTTTGACCATTTGCTTCTTGGACCCTGACTCAAATTGTTAAAGGCTCAGAAACATCAGACAATGAGTTTTTGAAAATTGTCAACTCAAATGTAAACCTGGCCCTTTGCCTTCACTGACTTCAATCTGCCAGCTTGAAGGCATGTAAGTCTGTCTGCTGCCTACCTACTTGGTATTCCTGCATAATATATCATTTTAAAACTTGTTTTGAATATTCTAATAAAATCAAGTTAATGATTTATGTCCCTGTCATGGTGGTGCTTTGCATGTCCTCTACTGACCCTTATTAACTAGATTTAAATTTAAAACTAAAACTGATGTCTAGACTTTATAATACTCAGTAGTTAACTTTGTGCTACTGTCTGGTATATGCTCCTATCCTTGCCATGGCAACTAGAATGAATGATACTGTAGGTGTGGCAACTGCAGATTCACATGCTAACTCAAGGTCTTTTATCACCTCCTCACTGCTCACTATTGGACTCTCTGACCCATCTATGCCAACATCTTGTCTCTTCTCTTTGCATTCCTGTTATGAAATGCCTTATGGGTGGCATGAGTTGTACCCTCCATAATTTTTTGCTGCAAGAAGATGAGTTAATTTAAAACTAATCTAAACAAGTATCTGTGTCATAAACACTGTAAACAATATTTATTACCTTGTAGAATAATTCCTTTTGTCTACATCTTGCTGGTCTCCAGAACTTTCATTACTTTAAAAAGGAAGTTAGATAGATGGAATCTCAAATACATATGACTGTATCACCTATACACCATACCCAGGTGCCCTGCTTAATTAAGCCTATGAATATGAAGAGATCCAGCCTATGATAATGTTTGTCCTATGATTTTCTGTACCTAAATTAGGTATGCCTTAAAATTTTTTAAACTTGGATAAGGTGTCCGGTTTTAATCTTTGGTTTTATTCTTTATATTCTTGTTTGAATACAACTGATCTTTATTCAACCATACAACTGAATATAAATGTTGAAGTAAAATTGACTATGTTAAAAATACTGTAACATAAAATTTAATTCTATAGTGAAACAAAACTCTTACAATAATACAGATAGCAGTTGCAGTGTTTTCTATTTACCATGCTTAATTCCCAGTACTTGAAATCAGTTGTGTTTTTCAGTAACTATGAGGTGACATACATTTAAGCTCTCTTGGTATCTAGAGAGGCCAAAGCAGAAAGGAATTTGCTGAGCTAATGGGAGTAGTCGTGAGAGAGAAAGATTTGAATTTAAATCTGTCTGATGGCATCCCATATCTCAGAACTCAGAACCTATGGAATCTATACGTATTCAGAAGGGTGACAGTTAGAAAGGCATTCCACCAATCAGCAGTGGCAATACTGCATCATGCTGCAACTAAGTAACATTCCACCAATCAGCAGCCAGTACTTGAAATCAATTGTATTTTTCAGTAACTATGAGGTGAGGTACAAATGTATGAAAAAAATCGGGCTTCAAAAAAGAAGTCATGCTTTCTTAAAAGTATTTATAACAAGGAAAATCTATTAAATCCATATTATACTCATTAAACACCCATTACATGGTAGAGAATATATTATATGTTGGATTATGTCATTGTGATTTGACCTTCCTCATAAAGTTAGGGGCATATTATTACCCACATTTCACAGGGTAGAAAATTGAGGTTGAGAGTTAAGTATTTTGCCTGACATCACAGAGCTGATAAGTTACATAGCTGTGATTTGACTTTCAAATGATCTATATCCCTTACTCTGTCCACTAGAAAAAACAGCCAAGTGTTAAAGTGTCTAGATGTCAGAAACTTGTCTTTGATGCCCTCATTGGTTTTGCATATTAGTTATCAATGTGTCATTAGATCTACCATATTTTTAATATATGATTGTAAGGATCTTGATGGGGAAACATTTGGTTTCCAATATACTCCAATATATCTATATATTTTCATTTCTGAGAAGACAATTACTCTGTATATCGTTAATTATTTTTTTTATTTATTTTAAGTTTAAATTTAGATTACAAACAAGGTTGCTTCACAAGTCAGTTCCAGGTCACTCTCCCTTTCCCTCCCCTCCCCCAACCCCCCCATTATCCCCTCATTTCCCCAGGGAGGGTGAGGCCCTCCATTGGGGTGTCCATAGTCTGTCATTTCATCCAGGGCAGGGCCTAGACCCCCCCCCCCAAGAGTTCAGGGTGAGAGTGCATCTCACATTGTTGGATGGGAGTCCAAAGTCCGTGTATATACACGGGATGAGTACTGATCTACTGCCCAAGGCTCAATAGATTACGTAGGCCCCCTCACTGACACCTACATTCAGGGGGTCTTGATCAGTCCGTATATTGTTAATTATATGAAATAATATTTATGTAATTCGGTAGATAAAATTTGGAAAGAGGGTACTTATTCCCATCAATTTTGTTAAGAACAAACACATCTTTGAATAAACCACTTGAAGTTTGTGTTTAAAACATATGGTCCCCAGCCAGGTAGCACTCAAGAGGCAGAGGCAGGTAGATCTGTGTGCATTTGAGGCCAGCCTAATCTACAGAGCTACACAGAGAAACCCTGTCTCAAAAAATTAAAAATGCAGTCCATGTTAAATACAGTTACACCCCCATCTTTTCCTCTATGCAATTTTTCACAAATACAGTTGCTGTCACTTGGCTTTCTCTAGAGGAGCTCCATGTTCCACAATTATAAGAGCTCCACCTCCTCAGAGAGTTTAAACAAAACTAGCTCTTCCAGAGATGATAATATTTTGTTCTTTCTTAGTAACTCTTTCTTCTCCATATAGTATGATCTGGAGTGTGAATCTGCAATGGGATGAATGCTTAGCATGTGGGAGGCCCTGGGTTCAAGCTCCACCACTGCTAAATAAATAAGTGAATAAGTAAATAAATAAATACTAGAACTGACTTCAAAAAGTCAAATAAACAGAAATAAGCATGCTTACTTTCTTCCTTATAACAACATGGAATAAACATCTTTAAAATTGTGCTACTTAAATTGTATCATAATATGCCTGTTGTAATTAATATCTTTTAAGTAATTAAAAAAGTTTTAAGAGAACTGTTGATATTCATGCAGGTCTTTACCCAGACCCAAATTCATGATTATTGCTTTCTTCAAGTGTTAAAACAGTTGTGATGTTTCTTTTTAAAATCAAGCTTTTATTCATGATGCATGACTTGCTCACTTTTGCTTTGAATGCATCATTGATCACAAGTAGATGGTTATAACCAAAGTCAGTAATAAAGAAGAATTAAGTATTTAATAAAACATTAAAAGCATTTTCCCTGTAGGTAAGATTAATGCACATCATTAAAAGTTACCTTCCTTCCTTTCAGATCCAAAACATTAGCAGAAATAATGAGCAAGAAAATGACTACGAAGAGGATATTACCTCATTTTCTACATATCCACCCTGTAAGTTTTCCTCTATTCTGTAAATACATATAGGTTTTATAGTATGGTGTGGGAAACTCAAAACCAAGACTGAACAGAAAATGTGGGAATGCATTTAATCAACCAAAGGATTTTTAAATATTGCAGTAAAGATGTTTTACCTATATGTGCTAATTTAAACACTTCACAAGGTCAAGATTTAATAATCAAATGTGAGTTTATGAGTTTTCCTACCTTGAAAAATTATACAAGTCACTTTCAATCCTTTTCTGGGTATTTGAAAACTGTGTTTCTAAATTTGTTTTTCCAAACAAGCCCATTCTTGGGAAGCTGTGCCATCTCCACTATGAAGTGGAGAGCTGAGGCAAGCATCTGTCTAAGGTCCTCCAGGCCATAGCACATGCAATGTTATGTCTAACACAGAAGGATGAATTCAGTGTTCATGCATGTTCAGGCCAGGTCTCATTAGCGTGCAATGACTTGCTTACCATCTCCACCAGCATTTATGAACGGTGTCTCACCCTTCAATTCAGAAAATCCTGATTCCTACTGTACCCAATGTCTCCACCTGCTGACTTCCCTCCTCAGCCAGCAAGAGTGTCTTTTCTTTCCAAGTTAGCTCAAAATCCTGGAAGTTACTCTGGACTTTTGCTCCTTTGCTCCCACTATACATACACTTCACCACAATCCTATTGGTTGCACCGTCACAATATTTCCAGCGTTCATCCAGCTGTCATTCTTCATTGTTTTTAATCCTAGAGAGGCAATGATTATGCCTCTGCCTCAGGATATATGCAGTTTCTGCTCCCTCCACACCCTCTTCCTCCCTGTGTCATCCTAACCCCCGTTTTAACATTTCTTTTCCTTTCCCTTTTCTTGTACCTTTCTCCACTATGCTCAACCTCATTCAGCATTATAGTTTGCTTATCTGGTTCTTCATTTATGGCCTGTCCCCTTCATCTAAAATGCTTGTCTTGGGAGATTAGGTTGTTTTGTTCATGTCCTTATGGTCTATAAGCTGTACATGATCAATGCTGACTACCAGCTTTTCAAATGACAAGCTGATAGGCAAATCAGACAAAATTCAATGCAAAGCTTACCAAGTATACTTTGATAAAATCCTTTTAAACATTATCATAATATGTACATGAATACTACATATTAAATTAATGAATTTATTAAAAGGGTTGGAGGTTATATATTTTATCACCTTAATAATGAAAAGCTATGATCAAGCTTATTATTAATACTGATCACACATATCATAATTCCACCCTCTGAAGAACTGTCAATAACAGTTTTTTAGTAATGAAAAATATCATCTCTACAGCTGAAACTGAGAGCTCTCTCAGCTGTGAAACCAAGACTGAGCACAGCCACCAGTTTTCGTGGGCATGGGGAAGATCAAGGCACCCCACTCACATCACAGAAATAACAGGGCTTCCTGAACCCTTTGCCTACTGACTCTAACTTGCCAGGGCTGGATACATCTGCCAAACACCTGGAACATCTGTTCCTTGTTGGTGTCAAGAAACACTGATTCTAGAACTAAAGAGCTGGCATGCAATTTCCTGTACTTAGCTGTAATTTTAGGCTGATGGCTGATTTTCTTAGACAAAATAGTCAAGCATCTTCAGGTACTTACAGCTGAGCAATAGCTCCCTTCTAGTCATTCCATCATCTACAACATCAGCATTTCTAGGGATTACTTTACTTTAGTGTCAGTGTTTAGGTGTTAGGAATAGAAAGCTGAATGAGACCTCTGAAGAAAAATCATACACGAACAACATACCATACACATATATTCCCCCTGAATACCCACATACATAACACCCACACACCACATATATAACATAGCACATACTTAAACACTCCCCTACGCACATACCCTGCAAACACCATACATGCATACAATAAATAACACATACATATATCACAACACACCATGCACTTACACCCCACATACGTGTACACACACACATTATACCATACACATATACTACACACACAAATATACATACACATGCAACGTATATAAGCACACCACAGAAGTCTACTTGCTCTTCCAGACTAGTATCTATAGAATCTAACTTCAGTTCATGGGGCAAAAATTGGGTCTTCTTCCTCGTGTGAAAGATTGCCCAACACCATTACAGGCTTCCTTTTCCATGGGTCTAATTTTTCTCACACTGCTGAAAGTTTTCCACTGTGTGATTTCATTTTTCAAACAGCAAAGAACAAATGTCTTCTTCCCCACACTGTTTTATTTGATATTTAAAGCTGTATTTTAGTTTAGGAAATTTTGAAAACAATTCTTTTTCATTGAAAATGATGAGACACATTCCAATGTCTGTTTGAAAGATCAAAAAGATTATGTCTTTCATTTTCACTATAAAAAGAGAGAGGGAGGACTGATGAGCATAGGGGTCAAGACTGGGCTTGTTTAACCCACAAAAACAGCTGACCTGAACAAAGGGAAGCTGTTGAATCCCAGACTGATGGATGGGAATCCAGCATGGGACTGATCCAGACCCCTGAATGTGGGTGTCAGTGAGGAGGCCTAGGCAATCTATGGGGCATTCAGACTTTGGGTACCCATCCCACAATGAGAGATACTCTCTCAGCCTGGACTCTTGGAGGAGGGCCTAGGCCCTGCCCCGGATAAAATGGTAGACTATGGTTACCCCCCCATGGAGGGCCTCACCCTCCCTGGGAAAGAAGTGGGGATTGGGGGAGGGGGGATGAGGGGTTTGGTGGGAGGGCATGGGAGGAGGAGAGGGAGAGGAAAAGGGACCTGGGATTGACATGTTAAGCAACCTTGTTTCTAATTTAAATTTAAAAATAAAGAAAGACACAAGTAAAAAAAAATCCACATTGTATGAATTGTTTTACAGATGTGAAGTTATTGCAGTTTAATGTTGTTGTGCTTTTTCTGATTGGTTAGAGTATTATTGTATAATATAAACGTTTATGTGGTGTGATTCTTAGATTATAGGGACATCGACTCAATTACCTGGTTAAATTTCGGAACAGAATGCATTTTATCATTAGACACGCTTTCTCCAGAAAAGAAAAAGACATTTTACTAAGCAACGTCTTCAAAAATTAATGAGATACCCCTAATAATTTATGGTTGTTAATTATACAAATTATTAAAATGCCTATTCTCAGGACTAAGTAGTATTATAATAAATCTAGGGAGATGTGAAGTACAGGCACACAGATTTATTTTCAACAGTTTCTCCACAGAATCAAAATATCTCTATACTTGTGGCTGTGCTGAGTACTTGGGAAACAAGATGTGATGGAGCATTGAGACTCATTAGGTAAAGCAGAGCTATGCAGTGGGCAGCTTTGTACTATGCAGCAGGGTCACCGAAGTGTGCTAACTGTGCTACACCTTCTGTGCAAATCTTCAAAAATGCCTCCAGACAATGTGCATAAGTGACATTGCTCAATCTTTATCATCAATAGCTACGCAGCCGCCAGCATTTCATCGTGAACTCATGAAGACACACAGACGGAGCACAGACAGATCTGAGGAACTTGAAAGGGTTGGGGACACAAAGGAGGAAGAACCAAGTGCTGAGGCAGGAGCCAGCCTGCCAGAGGTCGATGGTGATGGTGACAGCTCTGAGAACCAGTATGACGACTTGTATGTGTTCATTCCTGGAACTGATACAGAAAGCAACTCACCAGAGCCTCTCCCATACTGCAAACCGCCTCTGCCCCCACCCCGACCGGGAACTGCTGCCTCCCAACTAGAAAGACCTCACCTCACCTCACAAGGTAAGCTTATAGGAAGCAATGCAAAGAAATGATTTGTTCCAAGGCTTCTACACACCATATGGTACAATGTTGAATCTGCGGATACACGATCAGATTCCAAAATCAAGGGTTGATTCTCTTATCTTCAACTACTGAAGCTATGGGAAGAAAACAGGAGATGATCTACTTACCTTTCCTCTTCGATGCCTCAAAAAAAATTCCCTTGCAAAGCCTAAGAATGTAAATATGATAAGTAACAATATTAAAACAACCATGATAGTTTGGAAAGAATCTGTAGAGATGCACATAAAATGAGCTTGGTATATTCTGTGGGAAAGTACAACGTTCTGGCCAGCAGGAAGGCTGTTAGGGGTAATTTTGAGCTGAATATAGGTTTCATTTGCCTGGTGCTTGGTCTCCCTGGTAGCTAGATCTCCTAGGATTTGTATGCTTGGACTTCTCCATAGTCTAAAGACTCCTAGCTCCAGGGTCATTCATCACCACCACCCACTTTGTTCATCTATTTTGTGCTTAACCTTCAAGTTATAAACTGTTCTCACAAAGAAAATTCCTAACAAAGACTTTTTATCATATGCTATAAATAATATATTTTAGTTGTCTGATCCTAGAAGATTATCAAATGTATGAACACTGCTTGAAACAGTGAAATTTGAAGTGACTGGAGAGACAGTTCAGCAGTTAAGAGCATTTGCTGTTCTTTTGCAGAGGACCCAGGTTCAATTCCCATAACCTACATGATGGCATACAACTGTCTGTAACTCTATTCCAAGGGATCTGTTCCCCTCTTCAGGCACTACCTACACCTAGTACACATGCATCCTTGAAGGCAAATACTCACGAATACAAAATAAAAATTTTTGAAACCATAAAACTTAGCATTACTCTCCTGTGATGCCCTGTCTCTGGGAAGGCTCATGTTTATCAATAAGCTACACTCAGGTTCTACACTATGTTAGAAAATCAAACCTGGAAGGCACTTCTCTGGCTCATTCAGTCTGCATACACTGCTCACCTATGTGCCGAGCTTTTGTGGACCTGAGAGAGAGAGAGGAGTTATCACATAAACATCTGTGGGAGAAGAAAGCATGCCAGCAGCAAAATGGCCACAAAATTCTACTGGATTTTATCCTATCTGAAATTTTTAAATAATAAAGATGAAAATATTGTCCTATGTCATATTAAATATCTGTAAGATATAATATTACATTGTAAGTTTTCATAAAGTTTCATATACAATATGTTAGCTAAGAAATCTCATGCCACTATTTCATAAATTTACCAAATTCCTATGACCAAAATTATAATCTTGACTAATGTACCCCTGAAACTACCACATATAAGAGGCAAAGATTTTCCTGCAAAAAGCCACATTGATTTTATTTAAAAAACACATTGTCACACTTGTTTGCTTAATATTTTCATATTTTGTATATAAACTACTGAAAGGTATGGGTTTCATTGTAATATACATGTTGTACATACATAAATGTATGTATATATATAATTATTTTCATCATACTCATTCCCCAATAATTTCTTGTCTCCTTCTCACTGGTCCCCTTTCTCTTGCCCTCTTTAACATATTTTTATACAGTTCATCTTTTTGCCCATAGCACTGAAAAGTAAGTAAAAAAGAAAATGGAACTATTTGTTAATATAGTTTATAATTTTTTAAAGATTTATTGACTTTTTACTTTATGTGTATAAATTTTTGGTTGGCCTGAAAAACTGTCTTGCGCTGTGGCATAGGCATTGGAATCCATGGGACTAGGGTTAAGGATGCTTGTAAACCAGTCTATGGGTACTGGTAATCAAATTCAGGTGCTCTGCAACAGCAGCATGTACTCTTGAGTCCATTTGTTACGATCTGTCCTGGAGCTATCGAAACTAGGCATCAAATTCTGTGAGTGAGACTTACAGACATATTCATTGGATAAACTACTAATATATGCCACCCTGAAGCATCTTTTTACCTCCACAACAATCACAACACTGACCTATCATTATGACCCAACTGCCACTCAGACACAAGGCCAGAAAGCCTATACTTAGAATATGCTACATACCTCCAGGGTTCTAACATTTCTATAAACATGTGCCCCATATTTCAGCAGTTGGGGTGACTGGCTCATAGCAATGATTCATTTAATATTTATTAGTATACAACCTGGGGTGAGAAAACTCAGACCCCACTCTTTAAGGCAAAGCATAAGCTTCTGCTTTGGAAGGTAAAAAGTAAAATGTATGATTTCTAGTATGAGTCCAACTTCAGAAAGAGTTGGAAAGAGAGGTGGGTGGGGAACAGCTCAGGAAATGGGTTCATAAAAGTGAGACACTTGACACATTTTGCTAAAAATGAAGTGCTGTAAAAGTCTTTCCCACACACTTAATCAGGTTTCACCTGGAGGCTGTCAGAGAAACAGAAGTCATGAAGCTGAAATCTCAAAGCCGTATTATTCATGAAGAAAAAGTCAAGGCGTAATGATTTTAAAGCTGGTGTCAGGCATATAGGAAATTAACACTTCTTAGGTTAAACTAACCAGAAGAATATAGTTTAAGATGCTTTGGAAGAGTGTCATGGTCATCTCTCCCAGAACTGTCTAAAGCAATTCCTGAATATCCTTATAAAAATACTTGCATGTGGTTCTTTTAGTTCTTTTTCCCCTGAGCATCTAAGTTTTTCCACTAAAATCCCAATTGCAATAAGTATTATCAAATCTGTGCTATCCCACAAAAGCAAGTTGAAAAAGAAAAAGTAAACAGCTATATCCATAGTGAAAGACCTTCTCATTGGTTATTTTATTAACCAGAGTGTCTCATATGCTTGTCTGCTTAACAACTGCTATGAAGATGTCTCAGCATATTCTTGCATAGCTGGTAAATGGTTTTTTTCCTATGAACCCCTAAAAGACTCTGAATCTGCAATTGCATTCTAGTAACACAACTAACCCTAAAGCCAGTGATTGTCCACAGTGTCAGTTACATCAAGGTGTCCACTTTGGTGCCCTGCTCCTAAGTGAGGTTAATATTCACCTGTGGAAACCAAGAGTTGCACTTTTGAAAGTCAGTTTGTCATAGCAGAGAAGCTAGAACAGATGAAGGAAGTACATATGGCTGGTCCCTTATCATTTTCAGAGAAACTAGGTTTTAAGTGAAATAGTCAGTACAATCAGTAGGAAAGGAAGATGTCTTACTGGGTGAAAGGATGTCTGAGTTTTATGCTTGAAAACAAACCCCTCCAAGCATTTCAAGCCTGAGATACAGAGTTGTGACTCAATCCCCTGATATCAAATATATCTCTAAAATAATGTTGGAGGAATAATATATTTTGAAAATGTATATTAAGGAATTTTCTTCACAGAACTAGAAATTCCAAGCAGTGTAAGTAAGTCAAACAACTGACTTCCCTTTTTGAATTTTGAGAGTAGTATATAAGCATTTTACTAGAAACTAGGCCTTTTTTCACATTGTTTTAATGGAATTTGAGTGAACTGACTTGAAATGATATAGGAAATTGAAAACATCAAGAATATTGCATAAAATATGATGTAAACACAGACTAAATGCTTCCTAAGCAGGTAAAATGATGGACGACCAAGTGGAAAGAAGTCTGAACTGGTGTGAAATCAGTGTGAGAGGAGAGACAAGGGATGAACTCCGCAGAGAAGAAAGAGAGGAAGCAGCACAGAGAGAGGAGGAGGAGGAGGAAGAAGAAAACCCGTACACATTTGCAGAAACTGATGACAATGAGTATGACCAGATACTGGCCAGTAAGAGTGTAAAGAAAAGAACTGGAAATCGCTCTTTCATTATAAACAGACCTCCTGCTCCCACCCCCCGGCCCACTCACGTCCCTTGCAAAGAAGAAACCACACCTTACATAGCTCAAGGTAATAGTTTGTTATTTATGGATTTTTTTCAACTTTCAAATTTTGTGTGCCTGGATGTTTTAACTGTATGCATGTCTGCATACCATGTGCATGCCTGGTACCCACAGAGGCCAGAAGAGGGTGCTGAATATCCTGGAAATAGAATTACTGACAATTATAACTACTGTGTGGGTGCTGGAAATTGAGCGTGAGTCCTTTGAAAGAGCTACCAGTGATTTTAACCATTGAGTTCTCAGCCTCTATTTCTCAATTTTTGTTGTTGTTGTTCTCTGGTTTATGAGAGAAATGGGGTTGCAGGATGAGGTAGAAAGTGAGGGAAATAATGCTTTAAAACTCTAGAGGCTATAAGTGTCTTTTCAATTTACAAATAAGTTACATTGGACCAATTTTTAATATCTTATTAATTCTTTGAAAATGTTATGCACACATACAATACCATATCTACCCACACTTCTTTCAGATCCACCTTCTGCTCCCAACTTTCAATCATTTTTTTTAAATCAATGCAGTCCATTTTATGTTGCCTACATACCCATGTGCGAGGAATCATCACCTGGAATAAGGTTTACCTACCAAGGGCCATGCTCTTGAAGAAAACCAAGTCTCCCACTCCTAGAAGCCATTAACTCATTGAGGTGTAGGCCTTCTGAGCCCTTCTCTCTCCTGATGTAAGGTTGTACAACTCACACAAGCAGCCAGGGCTGTTGTGAGCTCATGGATACAGCTGTCTTGTCCTGTCCAGAAGATACTGTTTTGTTCCAGTTTTCTTGCTCTTACAATATTTCTGCTTCTTCTCCACAATAGTCTCTGGATCTTGGAGATACAGAAGTGACACACATGTCCCATTTTTGGCTGAGTATTCCACGGTCACTGAGTCTTGACCTTTTGAGCGGTTGTGAGTTTCTGTGTTAACTATACCATTCATTACACCAATAAATACTCTCTGATTAGGTATGAGAGCTGTGCTAACCTACCAGTTGAGAGATATGAATTTAGAGGGTGGTTTGATATTACATCCATTAGCAAAATAATAAGAGTAGGTTCACCCATGGGACTTGTAATCTCCCCAGCCATGGGTTCTTGGCCAGGTTTACAGTACAAGGTAAACATTTCCTCCTAGGGAGTAGGCCTTACATACAAGCAGCAAGCAGTTAGTTACCTCCATAACATCTGTACTGTTATAGTTCTTATGGGCATAGTTTCCTGTGACCATCATTATTATAGTCTATAGGGTTCATAAGATTCATATTGCATTCCTGTACTATGAAATCTAGAGAGCAAATCATCAGCTTCTTAGCGCAAATTAGATTTCTCCATGACCCATAACCTAAACATATAGTGTCTCAAGCAATAGGGCCTTACCAGTTAGGGTAAGTTATGGTGGGCAGCTAAGAACCATGAATATAACATGTATTGCTTGTGGCTGTCTCTGGCATATCTCTGACCTATAACTCAAGGGTGATATCTCCTAATCTGGCAATGGGCTTTTTACTTACAACCAATGACTTCTGTGAGACCATAATCCACTGTGTAGGATAACTATAGTTAAACTCTTCTATAAAAAGTTTCCATATGGAAACTCTCTGAGACAGGGTTTCTCTTTGGAAATCCGCCTGCCTCTGCCTCTGGAGTAAAGCTTACCGGCGTGCGCCACCACAATGCCGGCTTTTCTATTTATTTACCACTTTGTTGTTTCATTTTCTCTCTCAATCTCACGTATATTTTTAAACACACTGTAAACCTTTAGAGAATTTCTTCATCCAAGTCTGACTTTACTGTAAATCTTTATGTTTTTCTGGCCACGTGTCTTATCTGTTAAAACCGCGGCTGTTTTAAACTGCCGTTTCAAGATGGTGGGCATAAGCGTGATTTCAGCTTACCGCCTCAGTCCATGCTGACATCCAGCAAAAGCTACCACTTCCAACTGTACGTACACACCTATCAATCGTTAGCAGAGTCTCTTAAAAGAACCTTGTTGGGTTTTTTCTTTTTTTCTTTTTATGCCGAGTCAGGAAGACTCCAGTAAACTAGCTGCGTGAATCTCGGCTTGTGGCTAGCGAAACAGAGCACACCTGAGAAAAATGCTGCTACCAAAAATCTGTGCTTCTCTCCATTCTTCTGTTTCTAAAATTCCTTTAAAGCTTTTGTTATTTTGCGTGGAAATTCATGATCCCACTTCTGACACCATTTTGTTAAGAGAAGCTTCTTCTTTGAGAGTATGCCTTCCCGCCCGCCTGGTTCTAGATCGGCATCAGTCCCAAATAAACACACAGGAGGCTATATTAATTATGAAGCTGTTGGCCTTGCTTGTTTCTTACTAGGTAGCTCTAACTTAAGTAATTACCCCATAATTGTTAATCTAAGTATGTTTCTTACCGGAGAATAGTTCCAGGCTTCCTACCCCCATGGCGTTACATGTTGACTCTCTTGTGTTTCTCCTTCCCAGCATCCTCCTGGACTCCTAGCCCCACCTATCTAGATTCCTATAGGCTCAACAGTACTTTATTGACAAATAACAGGCAAATAAAGGACTTCCCCAACAACTGTTGCTAAGAGAGTTTGAATTCACTGCCCAAATGATGAAACTTGGATACAATGCCAGCAGCATGTAAGCTCCTGTCATCCTGTTAGCCACACCTGGGAACACTGAACCATGACCTCCTTCCACAAATAAGTTCACTTCACTTTCATGTATTCATATGTATTTCCTCCCTCTAATCTACAAGATCCACAATGGAAGGGATCAGCTTCCAATGAATCTTCTGTCACATCATTAAAATTCTTGTTCCCACATTCAACCATGAGTTCATAAACTGAGAGAATTTGAATAATATTGGCTAAATGAACAAAAAGTAGAAGAAGGATCCACATCCATAAGACTTCAGTAGAGGGCTCCATTAAGAGTATGGAATATAGTACAAAGACCATAGAGCCTCTATTTCCTTTTTTCCTGCCCCAAAACATCCAATGTTTGAAGCACTAATTTGCAGAGCCCACGCAGGACAGAACAAAGCTCCTGGATGGCCGTGTATAGTTCCTTTTTCTACGTGCTGCAGATCACATATGGGAGAGTGTCTCTGCTCTGCCTGCAGCACTTCCGTCATCCTCCTCCCACAGAAGTGTAACTGAACAACTCAAAACTGAACACACATCCATCCATGACTTATCAGAAGCCATGTTTCTGATTCTGATTGTTGTTGAATGAAACATACCCAAAGATTAAGAACAGCAACAAGAATCATTCGCTTCTCTTTAAAACATATTTTTCTTAAACAATCTCCCTGTTCTCAGATCTCATGTTCTTAGCACTTTTCTTTCCCTGTTATACTGGACAAGTTCAGGCTCATTAGGCATCAAGAATACAGTGGGATTCTATAGATTAATATCTTTCAGTGACCGAATTATTGATTTAAAACAGATCAAGGAGAGAAAATGGTAGTCTGGCATAGACTGGCAGTAGAATTCCATCTTAGATCATGGACAGATGTGAACCCCTATTAGGGAAAGGTTTTAGCACCAAAGAATCATTTTTCATTCTCCTCATACAGTTGATTGAACAAAGATGGGACCAAGTCCATGTGACTGGTTGGGGGAAGAATACAATTCCCCTTTCAATTTGCAGTTGCTCCTGAAGTATTCTTGGCATTTTGCAGTGCAACGAAGTTGCATATGACCTTCTTGAGGGCATCTCAGCTACCAAGACCCTAAAATGTCAAGTATGACTCAGTTTTCTCCTAAAATTTCTACCTTTAGTTTACTTGTACTTGAAACTGATTATATATGATAAATTGGAGGTCAGGGAAGTCCTTGCAAAAACTCTTAGGAAAATTAATCCCCACCATTGTAAGTGCGTCAGAGTAGAATAGCTTCTGCCTTCCTTACTAAAGAAATATATCTAAGTAGGTTAAAGTAGTTCTTATGGCCAGAGCCTTGCAATGCATTCTTTGCCTAGGTGACCTCGTCCAAACAATTTAGTTTTAGGGTACCATATGTATGTCACAGGTGCTCTGAGAACAAAGTGACACAGTCATCTTTCTATTTATAAGGCTAGGGTCCCTGCCTTTCTGGGTAAAGTTCTTTATCTTTCTGTAAAAGAATGCTGGTCCAGCTCTACAAACGAGCCATCATTATGACTGAGTATGTTCTGTTCATTGAGCAGAAGCAATACTGCTGTTTTAGCCTGTGTTTTTTTTTTATTATTCTCCTTGTCCTCAGAGCAGAACATCATAGTCTCCTGGCTCATTCTCAGAGACACTGAATGAAATCAGGGAGGCCATCTCTTACTGCAGTGATATAAAGATAAATCATATTGGCCTCATCTTTCGAGGATTCAATTCGTTGGTCATACAAAAGCGGCAAAAATCAAACTGGTGTGAGCTGGTTTTAGAGTTTTTGAATTTGTAAGCAACATGAACGAAAGTATCATCAAGCACTTAGAGGTTTTTTTCCAATTGTACCACAACTCTTTTATGTTGTTCCCCTTAATATGTTACTAAACTCTGTTGAACATGTCTGTGGTAAGAAGTTTAGTTGACCTATGGTTGTAATTCTTAATGAATCCCAGATGTCTCTTAGCAATGTCTAGAGTGATTTTGATTTTCACAAGCAGGATAGTGCTAGAGGTACCTAGGAGGTAGAGCTCAGAGGTGCCTGATGACCATCCCACAACTTAAAGATCAGCCTTCTACAATTATAATATAAAGCTTATATAGTATAAAATGTCAATAGTACCGTGTGGGCAAACATATATCCACATGATTGCCATTTTAAAGCCAGAGTAGACATTTGAAATCTTTAGGTAATGGCCATTTAACAGCTGCCTACAAAGACTCTCCTCCTACACACACACACACACACACACACACACATACGTATATATATATATACATATATATATATATATGTATATATATATATACGTCTTAAACCTACAATGTTTTTTTCCAGGGCTTTTATTGTGAGCATCTTTTTAACTTTTTAACTCTGAGTTATATGATTAAGAAGAGTGCGATGCTCTACGGAGCAGTCACAGTGTGAGGCATCCCCTCTGAAAGAATTCTTCAGAAAAATCCATGACCCCCTTGAAGAGAGATGGAAGTAATCTAGATGTCACTGTGCACTCAAAGCTATGTAACTTGGTGAGAGGTGCACAATTCAATTAATATTTAATTAATTATTCATAATATCTGCTTTTCTGGGTTTTCATGCGAATGAAAGCTGCCTGTGCTCTGTGGTGGACTCAGAGCAGTACGTAGAAGATGTCCAGATGGTATTTGAAGTTACTCTGTAGACACAGGGTGCAGTGACTTCTCTGTTCCCTATCAGTGCCTGCCTTTTGCTTCACCCCCTAACATAGTTTTATATGTGCATATGCTAGATTGCATGCTTTTCCAAAATATTCACCAGCTACCAATACTGAAAACAATTAGAACAAATGAGCACAACCCTGACTTTGGAATATTCAATCCCCATAGGGTGAGCTCTATTAGTATATTTAGTATTTAATGGTTGTTCAAAGTTCAGATAACCAAATGGAATATAAAATTAGACTTCAGAAGGCCAGATCCTATCCTGTGAAATACAAACAAACAAAACCATGCCCCCACTGGTATCTAGTATTAAAACATTTCTTGACACAGAGGGAGGAAGAACAGAGAATTCCATTTGGATATTCACCAAGGATGAACCATAAGGTAAACTTCTAATAGTTTTGAAGGCTTCCAGTGGCTTCTTTACCACCTAAGCCATTTTCTTTTAAATGAAAGAAAGACTAACTGGATTATTTTTCAATTAATATTTACTCATAACATTTTCTAACTGAATACAAACGACCAAAAAGAAGTCAACATCCTGCTGGGCAAGCAGCAGGTGTTCCATATGTGTTGCTTGCCTGGTAAAATGAAGAGGACAAGGCTACCCAGGGATGCGGAGAGCCTTAGCTAATAATCTCATTGTGATGGCTTCGAGCTGCCAGTTCTACAAAACAGCCTGTCTTCTTCCAGAATTTACCAGCTTTCTAGATAGGAAACATCTTTAGGGTAGAAATAGTCTTGTTTGTATAAACTAAAAAATATATATTCAAATAGAAAGTTTGTTCTCTAATCCCACCTCAATTAAGTTGCTTAAAAGTAGAGGAAAATTGATTGTGAGATTTCCTATGCAGAACAAGGATCTTCATACTAGTCTAGCGATCAAGCTCAAATTTCTATTACAAATTGGAAAGGAAATGGATGGGTTCCCCCCGCCCCCTGTTAGGAAGCCAAGCATCTGTGAATGCCACCCTTGTATTTCATTCTCCCCACCATTTACCTTCAGGTCGGTATGTGCTTTCCGCCAGCCTGTCTCTGCCAATCTCAAAAGGAAAATGTATCCACATTAATAACTATGTGTGCACTGGCTGGTGAGTAGGCACACATTCTTCCTAAGCAGCCAAGCATAGTTTCCATTTGCACAGGTCTGTATGCTCCTTCCAGGTGAAAAGATACATCATGTCCACATTCCTGTTCTGATATGGTGACCTGTGTTGGATAAATGTTCCAGATAACCAAGTGGAACTAATGTCAGCACAATTAAATGGTTCAAGCTATCGAGTATTTGTACTTTCTTGTAGAGGCTAGATTTCTTCTCTAAGCTTCAGATGAGTCATTGGGACCACCAATGGGGTTACAGCATCCTTTCTCTCTGACACCTAAAGAAAAGAGCAGACTTTTACTTCTTTTTTATTTTCCCTTTTCTGATATTTTTTTTTTTTGTGATTGGCTTTCATGTAGCATGTAGTGGGGAAAATAGGGCTACAAAGACAAAGTTTTTACCTCTTCCTGACTGATAACCTCTCTCTACCTCTCATAAGTGCATACTAATAGCATATTTGACTCCTGTCTAAATGAACACAGTGGAAAGTAGGAAATTTGGAAACTGTCTGATATACCCATGTACCAACAAGACCTTGTTTACAGGGCTCTGAGCTGTGTAGTTGGCAATCTAGTGACAGGTTCCCTTCTAGGAGCTCATTGCCTACAAGCTCAAGACATGGTGCAGAAATGCATGTTGCCCTTCCCTACCTGCGATAAACATAGAGCATCATGGGATTTGTGGCATGCACTTTCAATCTTCATGAATGGCATTTGCTATCCTGCTTATGCTTCTCAGCTTAGACACTTAGACAATAATGCTGAGGTTGCTTTGTTCATTTTTCTAGAAAGGGAGACTCCAGATGAGTTCTTGTGTTCTTGAGAGACTATAAATGAGGGTGACACAAGGAGTGTTCCTGCTGAACAGTCTGCAAAGACAAATTGTGCAAGAGAATTTGTTTCATTTCACCATTTCCTCCTCTGCTACTTCTGCTTTGCTTAACATTTTTGAATATTTAATACTATGCTAATTCTTCCATTCAATGTCATTTATATTCCAGGGAAACTTTTACAGAAGTCATTTCACCAATATTTAAAATAAATGAGGGTGTCATTTGGGACATTTGTATTGTTTGGGAATATTTTAAACCTCAAAAATTTGTTTTAGTTTTTTCCCCTATATTGACATTTGTGTTTAAAGGTAATGACAAGATAAATACTGCATTCATTTTTGTCTTTTCAAATTCTAACTGTGGGTAGCAAAAGAAAAATAAGATTTCGCTGTGTGAAGGTTGCCCAAGTTGACATGTCATAATTGCATTGGTAGCATTCTTTGGACATTGACCAGGTACAATGTAGTTGAAACAACGCCATCCAGTATGTCAAGCACAGAGGGTCAGAATTCTCAATTCCATCTTTCCTCTCTCTCTCTCTCTCTCTCTCTCTCTCTCTCTCTCTCTCTCTCTCTCTCTCTCTCTCTCTGTCTCCCTCCCTCCTCTGTGTGTGTGTGTGTGTGTGTATGTGTGTGTGTGTGTGTGTGTGTGTATGTGTGAATTATTACTGCTCTGTGGTTTAACTCTCTGGTTTTTCTATTAGTCTAAGACTTCTAATCACAAATATTAGGTCTTTCCTTGTGGACATTTTGTGTATGAAAAATGCTTCTGAACTTTAAAAGCATTGAGAAGACTGTTTGCTACGTCTGGATATTTTGTAAGGAAGAGACATGGGTGCAGCTGAAGGTGAGCTACAGAATTGTAAGGCAGATTAGATGTCAAGGGAACCTTAGCACTGTAACTTACTGCCTACCCTGTACCTTCAGCCCTGTTGTCAGCATTTCCTTACTCCACCACCCATCCCAGAGTCAACTCCAGGCTGACCCTGGTTCAACCCTAGAGGAATCACACTAATGCACAGTACCTGAAGGACAGCATTAACTCCATGTCACATGGGTCAAACACTTGTTGCCAGAAGAAGGTATTGCAATAAAATATCCAGGGTAAATCACCCCCAAGCAAGCTGGAGAGAGAAGCTACTTCCAAATGCTCTGCAGCTCTATCCCTCAGCCAGATCGATGAAACTCATAGGTAGCATGGTGCTTAATTGGAGAGATTATTGTGGCATTTGCCTTTTGGTTCATGTCATTACCCATATTAATGATGTCAGACTACACTTTTTCAGTCTTAGACATTCTCCATTACATCTTAACAATATTAGCGAAAGCACAGGATGGCTGTTATTACTGTATTTAATCAAAACTGAAGAATGAGCTGATGAAAACACCAAGTGTGACTTAGAAAAACATCTAACATCCTCAAGTATGTAGTCACATGCCATATACCCCTTGGTATGTTTAATTTAGGAAAAATGTTGCAAACCCAGCACAAAGAAAGCTGATTTTCTTTTTTGTGGTAAATAGGTATTTATTTGAAATGAAAAAAATACTTAAGTTCCTGGACTATTGCATTTCATCATGGATTGTAACTGTCTACCTTTTCAACCATAAATGTTACTGTATATGTATATTTTTCTCAAATGTATCATATTTGAAAGTATATTCTATTCTCCTGAGGACATGGAGAGGAATAATCTTTTCCTAACATTATCTCAAAACCTATTTAATAAATGTTAATTGGATTTGGGACGTTTGTTTTAAAAATATGTGTATTTGATTAATTCCACGTATGACCTAGATATTAGAGTGGTTTAAATAAGAGTAAAGCCGTAGTAGAATTCCCTGATCATCACGGAGATGTTTGTCTAGGTTGCAGTGGCCAAGGACCATGCAGTTGTCGCATGGGCCTATGAGTCTCAATTCCAGTTTATGAGAAGACCCTGATGAGGCACTCAGAAGAGCAAGAGCACATCTGTGCTCCTGTAGCTCCTCCCAGCCTCCCTCTCTGACTTTAAAAGGGAATGGGAGACATAGCATCACAGTAAGGAGGAAGCAGCAGACCGAAGGCCAGGGCTTAAGGGTCTAGATCATCTCTTCGCTAACAACTCGGGGATCATTTCAAAATTCACTTAGCCCTTTTACAAGCTCCTTACTTCCTCATCTATAAACATATGAGGCTGAACTAAATCCCCCAGGCCTCTTCGAGCTCCCAAAGCCCATAATTCAGACTGCCCATAAAAAATAAATGTAACTCCAGATGCTCATTTTCCAAAAGTAAAGTAGTAAAGGATCTGGCCTATTTCATTAACAAACACCAGAAAGTATCCAGAACTTTGTGGGTGCCTAATAAATATTAAACACTGATTTTACCTTTCATCTGAAAAATAGGGTGAGTAATGCTGACTTAATTCCCAGAATTTCATGTGAGAAATAATAAATGAGAACAAAGCACTTTTCAGATAATGAAGTAATACAAACGAGCTGCTTTAATAGGTCTGAGATCTGGGTAAATGGAGCAAGAGTGAAGAGTGTCTGTGGGACACAACAGGCTTTTCTTCACTTTAAGAAGAAACAATAATTTTGCTAGCTTATCATCCACAAGACATTTTGAGCTGTAGATTCTGATGCAAATGGATTCTTCATGTAACTTAGCATCTGTCACTTCCAACAAAATCAAGCTTTTATCTTTATCTGATATCACTATCACATTCAATCAACATCAGGGCACTCTGCCCGAAGAAAGTGCGTCCCAATATTACTGATAAACTGCACAGATGAGAAAATAACAATTCTAATAACCCTATACTCAAACTGAATGCAACTCAGATATCATTACTAAGGAAAATTACATATTATATTCTGCTTTCATGGAGTATTTCATATTCTTTAATGCCTTTGTCTAATAAATTGTATGTACTTTTTTTATAGTGTTCCAACAAAAGGCAGCCAGAAGACAATCTGATGGTGATAAGTTCTACACTCTCCCTAAGAAACCAGGTATTGATGTTAAATTCAATATATTTAATAATCTAAATAAGATTTAAAGGAATCCTAGGAATATACATGAAGTCCACTAGGTCAAATATAAACAATTGAGTTTGATTTTTTGCCTTGAAGTTTGTATCTTACTCCAAAACAACTATGCCATAGCAAAATCAATGCATAGTAATTATTTTAATTAGCAAAATCAGAAAGTACCCCTCAGCATATTGCCTGTAGTGATGTTATCAGGGCACCAGGAAGGAAAACTAAGACAAACTCCATAACTTGCATCAGAAGCCCCTCTGTTTTTTTGTTTGTTTTTTTGTTTTTTGTGTTTTCTTAGATCTGTAAAAGGATGCCTTGTAAGAGAATAGTCTGGCTATTTCTATCCAAGTAAAACTGGTTGGATTAACTCTGATGCCAATCAAAGATGGAACCATTTTCCCGACATATTCTTGTCTTCAGCGTTTGATCCAGCACTTTGTGAACCATAATTTATCACACAGAGTAGAGCTAAAGACTATTATAATCATACAAGCATAGTCAGTCAAATGGCTCAAACAGATGGGACATTTTCTACTTCCAGTGTTCACTGAAACATTGGTCTTTTTCAATAATAGACTCTAGCAGACTATTTATTACAATTCTTTTTCAATAGTTAGGAATGAATAAACATTCAAATATAAAAACCATAAAAGTCAGTTGACAGAGGGATTAGGGCAGCTGGCTTTGGTAATCTATAAGCAAATTCAGTTGTACCTTTGATATAACTTCAGTCCCTAATTATGTCACCTTGAAACTGGTAAAAGGTAATTATTGAGAAAGAGACATTGAAATAAAACCATAAAATCACTTCACAGCAGCCACAAAACCCATACCTGCTCCATATCCTTTCGTGCCATTGTAAAGTGGTGAGGGTCAACTTTTAACACTCTCTGAACAACACTCAACACAGAACCCCAATGGACCAGCTCTTAGGATGTTATGAATGATCCCTCAGACAAAGTTGTAGTCTTAAATTAATGACTATCACTCATCACTTCAAGTAGCATTTCTCATGGCAGCTAAGTTGTACTTAGATTGTTCTGACAATTAGTTGCATGGTGCTTGAATACAATATGTGAGGAAGGTGGACCTCTGTCCTTCTTTGAATTATTTGGATATGCTGCTTGTAAATTTATATGCAAAATGCCACTGTCTTTAAATGGCAATTTTCCATCTTTTCAACATGGATTTCATGACTTAGCCATGTCACAGTTTGGATGAAAGGTGTTCCCCACAGGTTCCTGTGCTTTGACACTTGTCCTCAGCAGCTGTCTGGAGACTACAGAACCTGTAAGAGCGATCATATGGGGGGCCTTGAGGTTTAAAACCAGCCCGACTTTTTTTGTACAAACTTTCTCTACCTCCTTGGTTTTCTGAGATGTAACAAACTATGCTACAAACTTCTGTAACCAAAAACCCATCTACTTCAGCACCCTTCCAGGCTTTATCCACTATGGGGATCCTAGTCTCTCAAAACATGAGTAAACAGTAAGTCCTTTCTCCCTTAATTTACTTCTGTTGGGCATTTTCAACAAGAAAAGTAATTAATAGGAAGAGTTGGTAGTGAAAATCAGGTGTACCAATGTTCCAGAAAGGCACTGAGGTCAGACAATGTGTAGCAGAGGTAGAGTCCCTCCATAGAACCCCTAAGTAAGCTGTGTGTGACAACATGAAGGTGACGTCTAAGTTGGAAGAACCACCAAGGGTGTTAGAAGAACAAGGAGTATGGAATGTCTTCCAAGAAAATCTGCAGGCACTGAGAAATTCCATCCCCAAAAAAGACCTAGTGTGCCAAAAGCAGCTGATTCGTAGGAGTGGATCTAGCAAGCGCCACGTGGAGCTGTGGTTTGATGTTTGCCCTACGGGGTTCCAGTATTGCTCTGCTCAAAACTTCCCCTGCTGCCCTTCCTTTCCTTCCTTGCACGATCAAGTGCTGCTGTCTGTCAGAAGAATACGGTTTGCTCTCTGACTTTTACAAAGGCTCACAGCTGAGAGTTCACACTGAGTCTCAGAAGACGCTTTGGACTTTTGGAAAGTACTGATGCGGATACAGTGTTCAAAGTTAGATCGATTGCAGTTTGTGTCCATCAGTAGCCACAAGCCTGTAGAGAACTGGAGCCAAATGCTATGGTGCAGATATAGAATGCTCCTCTATGGGTCCCTAATTGATCGTGCTGCTGGAGAAAACCGTGGAAGCTTAAAGAGGTAAAGTTTGTTTAGCGGAAATACGGAAGTTGGGATAGCCTTTGATGACTGCACACAGCCCGACTTCCAGGTAAAGCTTCTCCTGCTTCCCACTTTCCTGAAACACCATAAGCTGTGATGCCTGTCCCCATGGCCTTGGGCCATGCTTCTGCCACCATGCCTCTCCTGCCGCTGCGACGGACTGCACCTCCTCAACCTCAAGCACAAAGTAAACCCTGCTTCCCGTCATTGGCTTCTGTCTTTCACCACTATTTTTTTAATCATAAAAATACTTTTTTATTTAAACTAGAAACAAGCTTGTTTTACATGTCAATACCAGTTGCCTCTCCTTCCCCTCCTCCCCGTTTCCCCCACCAAACCCCTATGCCATCGCCTCTCTGTTCCCCAGGGAGGGTGAGGCCTTCCATGGGGTATCTTCAAAGTCTGTCATATCATTTGAAGCCAGCCCTAGCCCCTCCCCCATGTGTCTAGTTAAAAGGTAGCTAACATCTACTAAGTGAGTTCCAGGACAGGCTCCAAAGCAATACAGAGAAACCCTGTCACGGAAAAAAAAAGTAGTAGCTAACATAAGGGTGGATTGTGGACCTTTGAAAGTCTCTGTCCCCTTGCCATGGGTTTATATCTCTCAGTAAACAAATGCGTCTTTTGTATACTTAGAATCACACTGGTTCCTAAAGATTTAAACAAAACCGATTACTCCCATCTGGACTCTCTCTCTCTCTCTCTCTCTCTCTCTCTCTCTCTCTCTCTCTCTCTCTCTCTCTCTCTCTCTCTCTCTCTCACACACACACACACACACACACCTCACAGTTTTATAAATAACAAAGGGAAGAAGTGGGTGTTTTCAGCTCTTTCAGAGAAGAAAATCCCTAAGGTTTCTTTTATTACAAATGATTCAAATATCATGGTTATAATTCAATTCTGTTAGCATTGAAGGGGAGTTCAGGAAATTTCAGGATTTCTCCTTCCACAGGAGATGAGAGATAGTGGAAACCTGGTGAGCACCTGTTCCTAGCAGCTGGCTATCTGTCTGTCAGTTGGCAATCTGTCTGATACCGCAGAAGGCAGGTTAAGAAGAGCTAAAAGTTTCTCTTGAGCCTAGCAGGACTGATTCATGTTCCGCAGTGTCTGCAGAAAAGTGGTTTCTTGCTGGGATAAAAGGTTAGAAAGAATGACAACAGAAACAAGTTTTGCAATACACCTTATTGGTAAGGAAATGTTTTATTATTTTATATATCTGGTCATATACTCTTAGCTAATTTTCTTCACAAAAGTCAGTTTTCATTAGATTTTTAAAAGAGGTCTCTGGGGACTAGGATAGTAAAAATTTTGTCATATGTTATTTGATTGTTTTTCCATTTTGATTCTAGAATCCAACTTATCCACAGCATTTTAAATTAGTCACAATAAGACATTCCTTTACTTTTAGATACCAAAAATTTACCAGACTAGAACAAAATGTTGTGCTATTTCTAAAAGTAAAAGAACATCAGATCATAGGAAGGTTTCTTTGTTTTTTGTTTTTTGTTTTTGTCAAAATCTGATGACTATAACTCCAGGAAAATCAGTTTTCAACATGATCCAAAAAGTGATAATTAGGGTTCTTATAAACATACTGGGTACTTAAAAGGCAGTTATGTTAGTCAGAATTTTCTTCACTAAATCAGAATGCCAGAGCAACCAACCTGAGAGGCAGATTTATCCTGGTTCATAGTTTCAGAGGTCTCACTCCTTCTTGTATGGAGGACTGACAGAGCAGAGTAGCTTCTGTAATGGGTCCCAGGAAGCAGGGAGAATGGCCTACTCTCTCCAGATTTTCTGTACTTTGTAAAATTGGTATTCCCTTCGGAAATAGCACCAACACCTGGGGTGCTAGCACACAACACAGGAGCCTATGAGGAACATTTCTCATTCAAACCATCCAACCTTACTTCTTGAAGCTCTTTTGGTATTATGGGAAATTCAGTGCTGCTTACAGTTTTCAGTGCATCCTTCAGCTATTCTGGGATTTTATCAAGCAGTAGGAGTGATAGCAGATGCTTCTCCAGTGCTGATGTCTCGGGAGAGTAAAGGGAGGACTTGTTAAATGTTCATGAGTTAAGATTTTATAGGGGACACAGACAAGTTCCCTAAAAAGGGTTAAATAATGTATTTCTTCTATTGTATGCTGGAAGGAAAGGGGACTCACGAGAGCCAACTATTTCCCCATGGAAACTGAAAGCATTCCAGAAACTCTAAGTTTGAAGATTGCCAAAGGGTTGCCAGGAAGCTACAGTATTGCTGAGCCAAGGAAGTTTCCTGAGGAACAGAAAAAAAATTAACTGGCACCATTTCTGTGGGAACTCAGAGGAATTCCTTGACTCATGTTTTACGTCTTGAAGAAATATGAAGGGAAAGTACTAAGGACTGGGATAAAATTTTTCACCAAAATGCAATTCTAAAGTCAGTTTTCCCAAATTGGTTTTGAAATCAGAAAATGCCAAAGAATGATATTACAGACAGAATTCGTTTCCAGTCCACTCCATTTGTTCACCCTGAGCCCTGGGAGCCAAAGGCTTTTCTGTCATGGCCACAAAACCAAAGGTCTAGATCTTTTTGGTATATCTGACGTCTTCTGGGGTTCTGAAGTCACAGTTATGCTAACCACACTCACCGAGGCCTGAATTATTTGTGAAATTCTCACTAAGGAAGGGTTTCTGCATCCTTTGGATGTTTTCCAAATAACAACTGTACTATTAAATAAGCTTGTAGATATCATGCAATAA